TATGGTATATATATAGGTTTAGGAACCAAATGTTCTGGAGTATCGAATGTGGTTGTATATGACATGCATTGGAGAGTAAAGATCCGTTCATTCTATCGTTAACAGAAATAATCGTAACGACGTAATCAATAACAAAACATTTGGTTCATCTTTCGTCAGATCTAGCCGATAACAGAGGTCAGCTGACAGTAGACAGGGGTGACATAATCAGGGTCGTCTGGAATGAAAGCCCCATCTCTGCATGCTTCAGTAAAAAAACTGATGAAACACGGGCTATTGCGAGCCAGAGAGTAGTACACTAAATTTACGAAGTGGGAGAGAAATTTCATTACCTCAAAGTTTGTACATATCCGCATGCAACTTTCAGGATACAGTTCGTCCTTTGTTCGAAGCCGCTTGGTAATCATACCACGGAAGAAAGGCTAAAAGCAGATGAAAAATTGGTAACAAGTATCATGCTGAAGTAATGTAAACACTGCAGGCATGATACGCTCAACAGCCAGGTTTAAGGTACCAAAACTGACAACATCGTATGAGAGATGGCCATTGTGTGTGCTACGAACCATTACCGTCGACGAATGTCTTGCTTCTCCACACTATGTTCGTTATCTTGCTGTCTTTGTGCTGGCGCGACAGCAGGGGCCGTTGAGATCGGTGGTGATTCCGGAAAATCGAGGCCTTATGACCAACAAGCCCAGTGTTCTTTCGTAGCGTCATTGTCAAGACTAGATAGATTTTGGAAATTTTCAGGAAACAGCCACCTGGGATCGTGTATCCCTATTTGTTGGGGTGGGGATTCGAGAAATCTTGTTTTTCTTTTAAAACGACGGGTCACTGGTCACCCAAAAACGTAAACAACAGCGACAACAACACAAGATAACTGGGGTATTGAGCGGTTATCGAACAGCCTCCTCATGAATTTATCTTAAGTAGTGAGTTCTATGGATTATCTACAATTGTAACTGATACTGAACTTAGGGTCAATTCTGCTTGTGAAAACACTCCCAACTGAAACGAGAGATAGCCTTCCACGAAATAGCTCAGTGCTTAAGGTACGAACATACCGATTGAAAGATCTGTGGTTCGAACCCAATCTCTGCATCTCGACTGCTCCTCTTTAGGTATGGAGAACCTGGCAGTATCGCAACTGTTGTGCTTACTTCGGGTGGCGTGGCAAATAGGCACTGGAAGAGTGGTACAGCTGAGAGGTCGTTGTTTTGTTGCACATTCGATTGAAAAACGTCATCAACTGGAGGTTTATCGCACTCTCGATCGAATTTAAGGTCTTTAAGTTGCACAGACAGAAAACCCATGGGTACATTAAACTAGTCAGGCAGAGAATGTAGTTTACGAAAAAGAAACCATGTATCAAACTCACACACACACACACACCAGACTACCGCCTACTCGTCAGCTCGACAACCGAAAGATAGAATATGCCATTTAATGTTTGAACGACTCCAGCTACTAAAGGTAGAGTTAGAATCCAACAAAATTCCGTGACTTTCACAATTTCGGTGCGATCTCCCTACCCTGCGATTTACATGCAAATCGTCCCAAAGAAGATGGAGGTGAAAAACATATCAGATAGACAGTGTGTGCCGACTGACACAAGCAACTTGATGCGAGCTGCCCATGTGTCTATACAATCCTTGGGTTCTGCGTGTTTATATAAGTCCAACGAGTGAAACTCCACAATCCAGATCTCCACTTTTGACCTTGTCACTATCCCGAGCACAAATAGAACAAGCTGGATAAATCCAGCTATAGCACCCTTTCGCTGGTTCTATGCCACACGAAGGTTGCACGAGGGCTGAGACAGTGCCAGGTTGCCCAAGCCTAGACAGGGCAAGTCGAGAGGCAGAGGTCGGACTCTAACCACGGACCTTCCGGTTGGTAAATTCACGCTCTATTCACTTGAGCCATCTCGCTCTCAAGCTAGATAAGTACAGATTGTTGACGCACGTTCCTCAAAAGATCACGCTCATTGATGGTTGGCGCACCCAGCCTAAGTAGACAGAGATATACCCGTCAGCTGTTTCTATTTCTAATCAACCAGGTACGCGGTACAGGTACGCGGTTATTACAGCTGATAACGATGATGATGACGATTTTTGATCAAGATTTGCTGGATTCTACGATCGCAGCACGGGTTGACAGTAAGAGTAACGCCCCTGGTATTGGTTAACAGCTTGGTTATCTGTTCCAACCGAAATACCGCGCAATGGGCAACCTTCGAGAAAGCGCTGTCATAATGGTTTATTTAAGGAAGATGGGTATTCGACTGAAAGTTGGGGGATAGAGGGATGACAGCAGTGCTCTGACGTGAAGGAACTAATACTGGCACTATGTTGTGCCATCACTTTTAGGCCAGCTAGTGGCTCTCAACAGGACTGTGAGTGGTTTGGCTAGAAATGGATCCTAAGTCTGTGCTGAAAAGTCGATGATACCGTAGAGCTGCTACAGCTGAGAATCATTGGCAGCAGGCATCACACAACCTTATAGAAGTGGCTGAGCCCTATACGACTCGGATAGAAGTGGCTGATCGCCAGTATGATCAGCTGGCACTTAAACAGAATACGGTGTCACTGAAGAAGCCATTCAACATCGGGTCATATGTGATTAAAGATTGGTGGCAATATACTCTGGCTAAGTGACATCGGCCACTAGTGGTTGAATAACAATGTTCAACCACCACCAGTTAGGTTACCTGTCCCAGTTTTTCAAAATATTCGTGAAATGCACACGGTTGATGGTATTTATCGAGGATGAAACACCTGTACACTGCTTCTCAGAATTTCAACACGTGGCAACTTCATTCACAGAATGAAATTTTGATCGGCTTCTAAATCTCCTGGCTACCTAAGGACTGCGCATTTGCCCGCCTGTCTTATTGTCTCGGATTTAAACAATGTAATGGTATATAAGGGAGAAAACACACACGAATATATAAATGGCAACAGAGATGGCCCAAGTGGTTAGAGCGCGAATCTACTGACCGGAAGATCCGTGGTTCGAATCCAACCTCCGCCACTCGACTTCCCCTGTCTAGGCTTGGGCAACCTGGCAGTATCCCAGCCCTCGTGCTTCCTTCGGGTGGCATGGCAGCCAGGCACCGGAAGGGTGCTACAGCTGAACGCTTATTAACCGGTGTGTCTAACTGATTCTTTCGGTTTTCAAGATTTAGCAGTTCGTTAACGCCTTCAGTACTGTGGACCAGAAACAAGTTCCAATTTCTCAGAATAACGTGGTCGCGATTCGTTAGTGGTAAAAAAAGACGATGACATCTGACATTGAAGATGCGATGAGTTTTCCAGTAAACAACCTCAAACACCTATGAGAAACTTGAAAATGTCCACTGCAGGAGAATCCCTAGAGTGCGACGGGAAATGTCCTGTGAGGGGCGTTTACTTCAGAATGTGCCTTGGCTGATATTCAGGGGAGTTACAACACAATCAGCCAGATCAAGTAGGCAGTTACTCAGTCTCGTTTAGAACTACCAGAGAAAAAAATACGGGAAAGCAGGAAAACAAAACAGGGAGGTGCTACGGATGGGAGCGGAGTGGACTGGTTGGTGCACACTAGCACAGGGGATAAAATTAACGAGGTAAGCCTGCCCAAGGCTGTTTTGATTCAGATCCCAGCTTTAGGTAATTTAGTGGATATCGAATACCCCTAGGTTGATAAGTACAAATCATAGGTCTCTGTTAGTTGAGGGCCCATGCAGCAGCTAAATAGATGAGTGAAATGTAGCCTTTCACCACTTGACGAAGTAGCTGTCAGGACGCAGTGTGAGTGGATTTGCAGCGTTGTTTCAGTGGGTGAGAAATGCGTCTGTCACTTGCAGCTTGTAATGCGTACATTAGCTTTTAATCAACACAGCACCAGCCGGTTAGATTTACTGCTGGGGGGCAACTGTGGCGCATTGCTTCGGTTGGTGTAATCAAATTACTAGTGCTCCCGTGGGTTTTCCAAGCAACCAGTGATGCAGTAAGCATGGTGCACTCAACAGAGTGTCTACCTCGTGGAAAGAACAGCAGAGCGATTTGAAGCCATTTTTTCGTGTCAGCCAGCAGTAAGAAGATGAAGACAACTGATTCTTCGATGTAAACTCGCTGAGGGGTCACTCTGTGACAAGCTATTAGTCATTACGCCGCATCATCAAAGATACATTCGAAAAAACGGACCGGAGTCAAACAACATACCTTGTTTCTTGTGAGCAAGACAAGATACCGGTCTGAGGCAAGCAACCAGTTGTCCGAATCCACATAGGCCAACGAGTGAAACAAGCCAAGGTTGGAGTGTACTTCTTCCTCCATTTTATTCCAAAAATCTGATAACCACATGTTGAAAGTCGCACTCATGGCAGACCTGTCCAAGTCACGATTGGGAACTGCGCATGAAGCGTCGTCCGGACAGTTCAGTTTGCTCAAACTTAGATGCCATTCAGACAATTGACTATTGGTGTAGAGAATGGAGAGGTCCAGTTCACCCGACCGGGGCACCGAGAAGGCCAGACAGGCGGGAAGTGGTGAGTAGCCAGAGGAAGAAGCAACACAAGGGCATGTCAGTAACTGCTGTCCGGACGCCGTTGAGTATAGACGTACCCGGCCATCTGAACAACCAATGGCGACCACAGCTACACCCGTGCCGACGGATTTGGAAACGGACAGCAGGTGTACGCGGAATACTGAACCACTTTCTGTGTAAATGAAAAGGATGAATGCGACCAACATCAGAATTCGAATAGGGTTGGCATTCAAGGGAGAAAAAACAATCAATGCAATGGTCAAGTCAAATTTTGCCTATGTAGTAAGAATCTGACAGACTTAAAACGTCCACTTGCTGGCTCAGTGGTTCGAACCTAACCGCTGCATCTATCAGTTCCAATAAGACGTATGAAGGAAACACAAATTTTCAAGTTTCTCAAAAAGTATACTGCCTAACCGACGCTTGGTATGAAAACGGAGAGGAACAGTGCGGAATCTACACGCAAGGTGCAGTAACCTATCACAAGACATGGGGAAATCGTTCCCAGTTACTGGGACAGCTTGTGAGTTGATCTGTCTGCCAATGTGATCATAGTGAAGTGCCAAATCGCACTCAACAGTTCAGAGTTGTTAGCAAACAAAACTGATTTCGAAATCCGATGAACAATGTCACGCAGAAAAGTGTTGGAGCTTTTTCTAATCTCCAAAAAAGCAAGTGACCTCGATTTTCTGAAGGCAAATACTTGGTTGCAGGCTCCCCACCTTGAAAATTTCCACACAAAGATGATGCGACAGACCTTGATGATTGTGAAACCTACAGTGTCACTGAAGACCCTGCGTACCAATCACCTGCTTTGGAATTAGCCTTTGATTTGAGGGCAAAAGATCACAGCATGTGCACAAAGGCGAGACATCTAAACCATTAAGTTGGAAAACCCCACAGTGTTTTGTTAACCCACGTTTCAATCTCAAGACGTAACGTATCTTCCATTGGTGGCGGACAACCGTCGCATAAACCAAATTATGGAAGCCAAAGCATGTTTATTGGGACACGGTCCGATAGCGAGTAACCGGCTGACCGCGAGGTTTTCTTTTATTTATTCCGTAGCGCCACTCATCCCAGTAACCTATACAGAACCGGAAGCGATCTTATGAATTGGATGAACATGCCTCAACCATAAGTAGTAAATAGGTGCACTGGGCACTATTCAATGACGCTAGTTTTGCTCGATATGAACGACACAGGCTATACAGTCGCTAGCAGTCTCACAACATAATCGAACATTTACCCGAGATAAGATCGCGCCGCCAGTTTTCATTGCCCGTTTGGACGTCAACGCAAATCAGCTCGGCAGAAGCTCGGAGCACTTGAATAAGATGCTGTGAATCATCTGTAAAGGTCAAACAAGATGAAGAAGGCAAAGCATTCTCATTGATATCTGGTTGATGTTTGATAGGAGTGGGGAACACGTCTGAAGTGTTGTTTTCCACCGACGTGACGGAGCCGATGGTCTGATCTAAGGCGAAAAACTTCGCAACCGACGCTGCAGACAAATCATCTGTATCTGTATCGGTTTCGGATGAGGATCCATGGATTCGAGATGACTCGGTGAGGGAATCTGTCGAATTCGTTCTGGCGGAGGGAGACAGACGTCTTCTTGAGACGGATTTCCGTTTTCTGTCGTTTTGTTCCCATTGGATTCGTGAAACAGACACTGAAGGCAGAACTCCTCGACGTTCCTCTTCGACAGTTACCGGCTAAGACATAAGAAGGTGACACTAGAGTTAAATCGTCACAGCACATAATTGTACAAGCAAGCTGAATCATTTCAAACACATCGAAATCCATATTAAAACATGGTTCGCTAACAGAAATGAGGCTATGAGAGCAGGAGTATCCTAGTTATTATCAACGTCCCGTCAGCTAACTACAGTGCTCCAAGACTGAAGCAATACCCCTGCCCAGTTTTATTCGTTGATAGACATACCCGGCTATTCAGCCACAAGTTGAACATCCGGTGGCTACGAATGTGACTGCATTCCAAATGTGATTCGATCCTCAAAGATACCGGCAGTTGGTAATCAGAAACGTCAAGAGTATATGACAAAACGTACAATAGCAATGAGCGATGATGGTGGATATGAATGGGACTACAGTTAAGGATCCCTGACTGTGCTGGAAAGTCACAATGTGCGCACTGTGACTAGCAAGCGATCATGTTATAAAAAACCTGCAAGAGCCGGTGGATTGATACGCTTAACTGGTAAATGGTCAAAGCAAGTTACCGGGTTGATCTATCGCGACAGAGGTAAACCTTCAATAAAACACACGGTATCCGTTATGCACCATTTTCGATCTGATAAAGTTGAGAACCGTGCATGGTATCATTGTTGTACCGTATCATTACCTTTCGCAGAGTATGGGCTACCACTAACGGTCCTTCTAGTTGCACATGGTTGCGGAATTTGTAGAGTTCACGTTCACGTCACTCTCGTTTGAACAGTCCTTCACCTGTCCCGGTGCATTTGTTCCGGTGAGCCTACACCAAAGAGGGAAAGCACTCGATTCTAGTTTCGCCCCTGTTGGTGCTCTTCAGCAGTGGATATCCTTGGCTATGTTGGGGTTTAGACTCCGATTATCTGATGCTGGGCGAGCGTGTTACCACTTCTCCACCAGTGCACTCTGGACGCAACTGAATTATCACCCCTGATAGGCAAATGTGTTCATGCTTCAGTGATGCGATTGGTTTGCTTGATGCTTCCTTTTCTGGTTCTTCTGTTGTGCTTCCCGCTACTTCGTAACATAGTCGAATTACATCATCCTTAATTTACATGAGATACGCTTAGTCAAATCAACTACATGATGCGATGACATCCCTATGATGGCAGAAACAAATGAGCTGTTGATCGCGTTTTTTTTAGTTCCCTTTGGTACTAGCCCGTTATGACCCAGGAACAAAAAAGACAGGAATCTGATGGGAGACTGCACGAATATGAAAATTATAGGATTGTGACTGTGGCTCGGAAACGCCCTTTTACATAAAATAAAGTGACGTGACGTTTACGTGATGTTTCCAGTACATGACAGTCTTTTATAAGCCCGATACCGGGCTTTGTCACGGATCGAACATGTAAAAACTTTTTCCTCGCCTGTTGTCACTTTTATGAAAATTGGGATGACTTTATAACGAAGACAAACGGCATTTGGAAAAAGCGACGTGAAAATATTGAACGTTCTCGCTCTGAGTAGTCAGGTAGCCAATTAAAAAACGGAACATCGAAGCGTCGCAGCATGAACACCCACGCGACGTAAAGATATACAGCAAACGATTTAGCTGGCAGAGAAGAACTATGTTACCGCTGCATTAAGGAACTTGTTAAGTTCAAAGTATTTTGTGAAATTTTCAAGACTGCGTACTGAGTGTTCATGATCATCATTTAGAAAGACTTTCGTATGGATAGGACTTTGCTACTCTTTAGTTCCAGGGACGATTTTTCCACCTAATGATCTCAGACAGATCCAGTGTTCAGTCATTTACGAGAGAGACAGATTCGAAGGCAAAAATCACTGCATGTTCTATGATCTTCCGCCCCACAAGTAAGTGGCCGTTTCCATAACCGGTTTGTTTATTTGCCTAGGTTTTGGGCAGTGCCCGTGCCGGAAATATCCCTGAAGTAAGAAGTGACGTGCCAACATACACACCAATTGATCAGAACCAAGTTTTGTACACAAGGAACTGCAGCCTTGAGGTGAGGCCTTTGATTAACCATTTATCATTAGGGGATCCAGCGAAGCCACTGACGGTGGTGTACATGAGAGGCACATGCACTGACAATTGGGGCTACCAGGAAGCACACAATGATCATTGTGTAAATGAAACCGATGCTTGCCACGTTCGTTAGGCACAAAGGCATCATCAGTCCAAAAGAGTAGGTCAGAAGGTCGGTAAATTTCTAGGGCAGACAGTCAATTGTCTAAATATCTTTCGAAAATCAGGTTAAATGAGTGTCCAGTTTCGATAAGATGTTTCGCCAACTAGTTGAAGAATAGGTATTAGGAACGACAGATTGGAGAAATTGCATTAGTTTAGGCTGGGATTTGGCACTCGTTCTTCCTGGTGCAGTGTATTTCACTAAATGATCCCAGCAGAGTGTCCAGCATGAGTTTTGCTGGAGTGCGGTGAGAAAATACTACATCTACATTGTAACTAGGGAGATTAGAAGACCTTCGGTTGATATGATTCCAGTATCAACAACGGATACTGTCTGTCCCAATAAAAATGCAAGGCACTAAGGCTCGCGTAATTTACTTTGAAACAAAAAATAACAACAAGTGCCTACCGATATGGTAACCCGTAGAATCCTCGTTCGAACCATATCTGAATAGGCAACAAAAGAACCACACTTGGAAAGCGTCGAAGCTATGATCTCCAATCCTTTCCGTGGTCTTATTTCAGCCAGCTGCAGAAGAGAATTGGAGATTGGGAGAAAACGATGAGCTTGACTTCGTTTCCGTTTATCATCTATTTGCGCCAAACGTACTAAGTCAAGCTTGTCCGGATAACGAAGAAGACACAGGCGCGTCGGTGGTCGTTGTTCGTTTGAGTGTTCAACGCTGACAAATTCACAAGGAGATGGTCGAGTCGCAGCACAAGCAAGCGGCCAAAACGGTAAAGCCGCCACATGGGCAATGGATTTAATCTTCGAATCACGCGGACGACCGACTTGACAGGCCAGAGTCCGGTGTGCCCTGGCGAATGCATCTAAACCGCGCTCCGGTTGCTCACAAGCCAAAACTTGCAAACGCGCATCTAAACCAACAGCCAGAAGACGATGAGGTTCGAAACGAGTATCAAGATTCGTGGCCTGAGAAGCAGGATCGTAATTTTGGCCAGCCAGATAGACCAAACCACGAATGTCACGTCTACAACCGCGTATAGTTCCGCCGAGTTCCCACTGGGCTGAAAAGGAGCAAGGAAGAGTGGTGAACACTAAAGTGAATTAGTTTAGGCCGATAACAGTGGACAACAGCGGAACCAAGGGCAGCGGCATTTCTACAGAGCGACATCTGAAGATGGCCTGTCGTATCGAAGAAAAATAGTTTCACAATGCTGTGGCTGAGGAAATCAGGTTTGTCACATGAACCGCTAGAAATACACCGTTAATTAGCCTAACAATGAGCGTATAATAATCCGTCGTGACGGAGAAGCGAGTGAACAGAGAAGCTTTAGTATAACCTTCTACGGTTGCAGAATGCAGTACAATGATCTTCACTTTACACGTAGAAGCAAGTGTGACAAATAGGTGACCACCTACCCCACAACGGCGAGCGAGATTAAGAGTCATCGAGATGAATGAATTTAATTTAACAGGCATGCTCGCTACCCTAGTAAGAAACCGCAACAATAATTGCCCTATCCAAAGGCATTTATGCTAAGGAATTTGATTCTGGGCTTGAATCTAGGAGCAAGCTGTGTTAAATATCACATTCTCACCACTATCATCATCATTACTACAAACACTAGCGTTGAAACCAGGCCTTACCCTAATAGGTTTCATCACTCATATACCTCTTGTATGTTTGTTAGGTTCTCTTATCACTAACTTCTCTGAATGACACGACCTTCCTCTCAGTTCCGGTTGCACAGTTCAGCAGCAGTAACAACCGCAGAGCTGAATGCTGATAGTGATGATTTCGTCAGTATAAGCCTGACGACCCTAATAGACTAGCGTCACAATATTAGCACTCGCGAAGAAGATTCAGAATTAATTGCCTACGGTACCTCAAATCTTTAAATTCCTTCATCCACAAACCATTCACTTATGAAACCGTTTTATTCGGCAACAAGCTGGGGTGGTTGCAGAAGACGAGCATTCAACAAACAAGCAAAAGATTGGTTCGTGGCCCTCGGTTTATGTACAGTTACAGCACCAGGTAGACATGAGTTATCAACAAGTATGAGGTACGCCACTAAACATACACTTTTTGGTTCCTCACGTAGGTATATTGCACGAGCCTAAGGCTACATAGAAGGTAGCTCTCCGCGGAAGGCACATCTCAACGTTGAAATAGGGTATACGACTTTTCGTCACGAATTTTGTGTCTAGTGTACAACGAAGTCTCATTAGTAATTGTAAAATAAATACCAAACCAATGCTTTAGAATAGCAAACCCCATCAGGTTTATAAAGGTTTATCAACAGTGCCGTCCTGGATGATAGTTTGAGCTCTCTATTGCATGTGTGCTGTCCTAATGAATTGTGTAACCATTCAAGTGCTCACTCACAAACAATAGGTTACTCGCATGGACTGAGCTGCCAAGCAGCTAGATCGAAATAATAGCACGCGGTTGCATTCATCGTTGACTTATCGCTTTTTTTCAGTTTACAGCGACCTGACAAAATGTGAATTCTGGTGTTCTCTGAAAGAATTACGACGGTTAAGGGTCGAAAGGACAACAAGCCATTGACAGCGTGCCTAAAACTTCCTTGAATAGACATTCAATAATTCCGTAACCGCCCTGTTCCTAGCGGACCACTAAACTTAGAGTGTGATTGGAATGAAGTGGTAAGCAAATGTCCAAAACTGACCATTATCCTCAGCTCAATCATACCGTTAAGTGTCGTTAATTATATTACGATGATAAAGGACAGGCAGCAAAAATTAAGCTAGGGCGGGACATTTGGAGGCCCACTTGCTTTATAGAAAGTGGCGATCAAGACAAAGTAAGGAGAGTTGATAGTGTTGCTCAACATAGACGCGCATTTTGCTGCTACGTCTTTAGGGAGCAAATTTTCCGTTGCGGGTAATTTCACCTCTGGCGCATCCAGCAAGAGATGTCGAATCGTGATTACGCGTAATCCACCTCGGTTCCATGGTGGAACAGCATGCGGACTCATATTACGGCATTTTTTATGATACAGATGGATGAGAAACTAGGCAAAAAGTGGTTGAATGGATGAGAACGAAAGAGATTCAGGCTGTTTTCACCTACTGCAATTATCTTCTGAAAGGAACCGTTCGTATCGTCGGACCAAAGCATCAGCTCCTCCACTGAATACGGTTTGACCATCTGGTGATGCGGTGAGTGCCAATACATGCGCGTAGTGACTTGGAAAAGTGTGTAAAAGTCCACCAACAGTGACATCCCAAACACAAACGTTGCCCTTATTGTCACCAGAGAAGAGTGAAGTTCTGAAAAGAGTGAAGTTTAAGCAAACGGAGCAGCAATAAGCTAGAAAAAATGATTAGCTGAAGACCAGGAATATGGTTTTGAGTTCGCGTAACGCAGTACACAACAGAAACAAACATTTCATCAGTGTAAGTGAGAGGTCCCCGAAGCAACTAGGCATTAAGTCAAACCTATGGGCTTTGCATAATAAGGAGACTACTAGGCACAACGGCAAATTCCAAAGAGAAGACTATTCGACGGGTCTCCTGAGTGATAGAGAAAGTGTACTGCAGGCAGAGAGAACTCGCTTCCAGTCGGGTCCAAATCCGAATGTTGTGTGCAACAACTAAGCCAAAGTGAGTTTTTCTGTCGCCTTTCAGTGGTTTCTGTTCTTAAATTCTGAAGAACTATGGGAAGGATAAGAGATTTCTATCACTATACAGACTCGTCGCTACGCTCCCTGATATTTCAACAGATCGTTCAACCGTGTCACGAGATGACTTAGTGCTACGGTATAAATAGAACACGTTCATTCGAAAAGACTCACTTGCTAAATAGAAGAACCCAAACGAACGTGTCCTTCGACTCAGAAAGAAGTGTATGCCGAATACTGTACGATGTGTTTGTGAAACAGATGACCATCAAAGTCCCTGAGCTCGTCCCAGCGGCCAGAAGTTTCTCTTTGGCATCAATACATGCAAGGGAGAGGATTTTGCCTGCAGTGGAGACAATCACTTCTAACGGTCACAATACCTGTCAGTTGCGGGAGCGTCTGAACCAATGAAACAGAAGATGATTCAGTGCTGCATATGGAAATAAAACCTTCGTCGTTACCAATCTAGGAGGGTTCACAGGGAAACTGGAGGATTACTCACGACTAGATAAGAACCACAAGAAGAGAGACACCGAGAGATTGGATTTCCCATCAAAAGCAGTGTGTCCTGAAAGCTATTTCAGAAAAAACGGAAGTCACCAACTTTGACGGAGAAGGTGTCGAGATCAACTTCGACCAACCGACCCAAAGCTCCAGTGTAAAATAGCCGCGGGCCAATCCAACTTAAAGCCTCGACCGACTTGGTGACAGTGGATGGAATCCGTGCAACCATAAAGAAATTACGATGCCTGTCGTACACCTCGATGGATCCATCTTGCCTGCCAGTGGCAAGCAGACCGGAGTCAGCTGCAGCAATACAGGTGAAGGGGACAGGGGTATAACCGTAGAAATGGATGCGATGAATGGGGAATTCCATGTAGAAAACGAACTGAGTGGTTTAATGAATAGCTTTCAATTTGACAATCCAGACCAGCTGTTGTGGGTTGGACTGAGACTACAAGGAAAAGAAGAGAAGACTTTAGCGTTCGCAGAAAAACGGTCCATATCAGAGTACATATGTTATCATCTCACCCCTCACCAACCAAAAATTACCATCAGCACCAAGACTATAATAATCAAAGCTCAGAATAAATAAGTCGTTGATCTGCTCCCATAATTAGGACCACATGTTACACTAATTCAAACTAGCTGGATAAATATGTTCCACTCGGGGGTTCCGGTCTCGTTCGATGCGAAGATCCTCCTGTTGAGCATTCTAAATGAGAGACATTATCTGATTTTACAGTTGTAAATATTCGCATGGACACCAACGAGCGCACATTTCTTTTTGATTTTGATCAAACAATTTAGAATCCTGCGATTGAAATCGTTATTTACGTTGGACTTTACCTTCGCAGGGGCAGGGTAGAAATCCAAAAGCAATACCAACCAGGAAGAAATTGCAACATTACGCATGGTCGTAGTAGAAAACGCCCTTAAAATAGCTTTCCGGAGAGTCCACCTCCGTCCATATTTAGGAAGTTTCAAGGCTGCGTTGCCTATATCTAGCAATGCAAGCTTTACTGATGTTTCTGAAGCAGTGATTCTATGTAAATATTAGCTGCAGAATTAGCAGAAGAGAGGTGCATCTCAAGTTTACCAAAACCACGTGCATTATCTTACCGAAAGTGGAACTAGCGAACGTTCCCCTTCCTAGGCTTGGGCAACCTGGCAGTTTCCCAGCCCTCATGCTTCTTTCTGGTGGCATGGCAGTTAAGCACCGAAAAGGTGATACAAGTGAACGAGAGGATGAGGTCGGCTTCGTACCACGGACATTCTGGTAGTAAATTCGCGTTTCAACTAATGAGGCATCTCTCCCCTATATCGTCAAAGGTGTGTTGAGCTTGTCAATCACGACCCTGAGACCGAACATGCTGGCAGAGTTCGCCACTTGCCACATTTGGTGGTCCACCCTCACGGGCCGAATATGGCTGATATCCGTAAAGCACTTATCAGCGCGAATAAAGTACACTTCAAGAAACTTCCAGCTCCTGTGGGATATAGCCAAAGATAGGATGATACTCAAAACACGGGATATCAACTGTTAGGGGAGATGCTGTCGGGACGTAGGCCAAATCGTTCGTTCAGCTGTAGCACCCTTCCGGTGCCTAACTGCCATGCCACCCGAAGGTTGCACGACGGCTGGGATACCGCCAGGTTGCCCAAGCCTAGACAGGGGAAGTCAAGAGGCAGAGGGCGGGTTCGAACCACGGACCTTCCGATCAGTAATTTCGCACTCTGAACACTTCGGTTGTCTCGCCCCGACGTAGGCCAATGTATTTATCAAAGCCTTCAGGCCAGGATGGAATGAACTTCGAGGAGCGGAGCGACGGAGTGGCTCAATTTCCTGGTAAATTTATGTCTGTGAAAGCGTTGACTCTCCCCTGAATCAACGGCAATCAGCAATTCCTTCTACTTATTCCGACTACTCATGAGTGGTGTGGTTTGCTGTTATAACGCCGTGTTGCTTTACTGCTGCTCGATCTTCGCTGTTTCTCACTCCTAAGGTCTGCTTTAATGGGTATTTGATAATACGCACTTTCAAGATCAAGCGTGCTGAAAATACGATATTGAGCTATTTTACTACTTAAATCTTCAAGTCTGGGGGG